TTATTCTTATTGTTACTAATATGTCAGAAGTAATGTTAAGTCACACGAGGGAGTAAAAAAAAATAACATATGTTTTTAAGTAACTTTTATTTTTAGCTGTTAGTTTAAATCTCTATTATGAGCTTAATTTTAATCGGATTTACAGTAAAGAAAAACTCAGAAGCAAGATGTAAATCAGGGAGTTTAATCCTCTCTTTAAATCGTGTACGTTTTTTAAGTAATGTTGTACACACACACACACACACACACACACACACACACACACACACACACACATGATAGTAAAAATATCATTAATTTACGAGACTAAAGACTGACATACACTCATACACTCAGCTGGGAGAAGCAGCATATAGGGGTGTGGGTTACGATATCCCATTGCCTTATGGCTCTCTCTCTCTCTCTCTCTCTCTCTCTCTCTCTCTCTCTCTCTCTCTCTCTGCAACGAAAAAGATAAACACAGATAGAAACAGGAAGAGGGAGACACGAAGAGGATAGGTAGAAGAGGGGACAGAGGAGAAGGAGGAGTAGGAAGAACAGGGAAGAGGAAGAGGAAGAGGAAGAAGAGGAGACAGGGGAGAAGAAGGAGAGGGTGAAGGAGGAGGAGTACGAGCGGGGAGATAAAGGCTCCCTTGAGACAGTCGCCGCTTGAGACAGTGCACCTCAAGTACTGCAGAAGGCGCGGCTGAAGAGGTCAAGTGGAGTCCTCTATGAACAGTCCATCAAACTAGATATTTGTTTCAATTTTTTTTGGGGGGGAGATAATGGGTCATATAATGTTACCTGGTGTTAGTATCGTCAGGTAGGTGCTCTCTTGTCTCGTCAGGTTGGTTGCTGTTGTGGTTGTTGTTGTTGTTTGGTTGGTGGTGGTGGTTGTTGTGGTGGTGGTGGTGCTTGTTGTGGTGGTGGTGCTTGTTGTGGTGGTGGTTGTTGTAGTTTCTCTCTTGTTACTCCTCTCCTCTACACCTCCTCTCTTCTCCTATATGTGTTACTCCTCTCCTCTACACCTCCTCTCTTCTCCTATACGGTCTTGGGGTCTTGCTTTGATTTTATTATTTTATTAGTTTATTATTTTTTACCTTTATTAATTTTTTCTGTTTTTTTTTCTTAATTTTGTCTGTCTTTGTGATTTGTCTTTTTCTCTTCTTCACTTCCTTCTTTTCTTTCAATAATTAGAATCGTAAACCGTAGATTATTTTACCTGATGATTAAACACTCTTAAGCTATACCTGTGGAGGGATTAGGTTAGGTACAGGTGTCAAGGGTCATTACTCATTAGTATATTTCTGCCTGTCATGCCTCAGTGATTTGGTCAGTCTAGACTCGACTCTAGTGTAAATATATTCCTTCGATAACCCTTCCTGACACTCCGCCCTCCTACTTCTCCATCCTCCACCCACCCACCATCCTACACCTTCCACCCACCCACCATCCTACACCTTCCACCCACCCAACCACCCACCCACCCACAATGCTCAATCTTCCACCGTCCACGCCCACTTGAACACGACTGACGGGATAATATCTGTGCCCGCTGCTTGTAAGTGTCTAAGAGGATATCCATTTGCGTTTGTTTGTAGTGACTTGCACAGACACACTCCACCCTCCACTATCTTCCTCCCTCTACTCTCTTCCTTCCTTCCTTCCTTCCTCCTTCTTTTCCTTCCTCATTCTACCTTACTCTATCTTTCTCGATCTTCATCCTTCCTTCTTTCACCCTCCATCCTCCTTCCTTCACCCGTCTCTCCCTCTTATCTTCCTTCCTTCATCCTCCTCCTTCCTTTCACCTCCATCATCTTCCTTCCCTCACCTACTTTCCACCTTCTCCCTCCATCTCCATCTCCACCCCCCCTTCCTTCTTCATCCACTTTCCATCATCCATCAACCATCCATATTCACTATTCACTTCCTATTCTCCTTCGCTATTCACCAACTTACACCGCCCTGAGCTGAGAGTCTCTGAGCAACCATGAATCTTTGTAAGACGTAAACCAAACCAAGTGTACCAAAACCATTGAAAGATAACACAGAGGTTTTAAGTATTTTATTGTGTGTTAAAATTGAAACAGCTTGAAGTGAAGTAATGGGGTACAAAGATGATTGTGTGTGTGTGTGTGAGAGAGAGAGAGAGAGTCACGTAGCCAGGCGGTAACACACTGAACCCACAATAATCTCTCTGGTATAATCTTCACCCACATACTATCCTCCAACCCCTTAGCCTTCCAGACGCTATCATCCAGCTTCCCAAACACTATCATCCAACCTGTAGCCTCCCAGACACGTCCATCCAACCTATACTAAGTCATAAGGATATAAACTTATAAATGAAAAAAATAAATAAAAGGGTCGTCTGTCACTTGTTGGTTTTTATAGTATCATCCCATAGCCTAAGAGGATTGGATTCACCATCTGGCTGGGAGTTGATGCTCTTTTTTTTTGTATAAGGGGATTTTCTTCAATTTTATGAGGGTTTACCCATCTATATCTCAGCTTGTTATTTATTTGTTTGTGAATTCACTTCGATAACTTCTCAAAATGGATGGAATATGAAAGCACAAAATGTTTAGATAAATAAGGAGTAATTATTTATCTTTATGTCTCTTTATTATCTGTCTGTCTTGTTATTTATTGGTAAAAAAAAAGAAATCCGTCTATTTTTGAGTTCGTTTATTAATCTCTGAAGTTATGTCTATCGTGTTGTCTCTTTTATTTCGTGTGTGTGTGTGTGTGTGTGTGTGTGTGTGTGTGTGTGTGTGTGTGTAAATGCATGTCAAATAATACCTATCTATGACACAGCACAACACTATACCCGCTGTGTGTTCATTATAATACACCTAAAGAAATGATCTGTATACACAACACTTAACCCGTCCTCTCAGTTGGGACTAAATTAAGAATATTTATTACCCTTATCTTACTGCCTGGGTCCGAGACGAGCACTTTATAATTACCTGATACACAAATACCTTCATCTTCCTCCGATTTATAAAGCAGTTTGTAATAATGTTATAGAAGGTTTGTAATGAATCTAGTTGGATAAGGTAGGGGAAATTAATGACTCAGTTTCAGTGAGATTGTGTGATTTGACTTGTTTATTCTTATCATTCTTATCTGGCTCTGTGGTACTAAAATAGATTCGAATTAATAACTGGGGTATATTTGATCTTTTGTTCATGATGTAAACACCTATAAGACTGGATCACATCTAACAGTGACTCATAACACGTGTGATTCAGGGGCTCTTGGTCAACACATGTGAGTCAAACCTTTATATCAACAGGTGACTCAGTTACTTATTCGTCTCTATTACGTCAATGAGTTAAACACTTATATTGAATCAGGTCTTGAAAGTCACTGGTTTATATATTCCAATCAATAACAATGCCCATTATTAATTATATCATGTACTGTAATGAGGCAGAAGAGAGTTTATATAAATCCTGCCTCCTAGTTGGTCATGCGTGTAAGATAACAGGAATTGTTTGGACAGGATAAGGAACAGCGAGGCGGTGAGGGATGGGAAGCAATGTTGACAACGTATCATCAGCTCGTCGGGTTATTGCTCTTTGGATCCAGCTGTGGCAATACGAGTTACAGTCAATATTATGCCTGATATGAGGTGATGGGGAGAGAGAGATTCATCACAGTACAATAGAATGCTGCTACATACACGATGACTTACACCACCACCACCACCACCACCAACAACAACAACGATGAATTTAGTTTCTTTCCATCTCTCTCCTGTTCTCGGTCTGTGAAACTTCAGACTCTATTTAGTTTTTGCCTCTTTTAACAAGCTCTATATCACGTGTCTTAAATCACCCCGTTGTGTCAAGGGAGAAGGAAGGTGGTATTATAAGAACTGAGACTCATTCATAAGGGTCCCTAGTTCGAGGTAGTACGGTGGTGAACGGTTAACGCGTGGACAGCTAATTTTTACCCTTAATACCGGAGTGCCTTAAGGTTTAGTTCTGGTTCCTAATTTGTTTTATTTTAATACGTTTGTTATGATTTGTCGAGAGCTGATCATTTTACCACTTAGATATTGCATTCTGGACCCGATAATTACTTTTTTGCAACTAGAAGACTGACTTAGTAAAATACTCATAAAATCATAAGAAAATTTAATGCCCCTAATGCACTCCACACGCATTAGTTGGTTATATTCACGTGACAACTAATGTTACGACCTGTCCACTCACACACACACACACACACAAGATCTGTACAGCGAGAGGATTGTGTTAAATTGAGAATAAACCCCTAAAAGTGAATAATTAAATGCAATTATGAGTTAACTTACACAATAAAAACAGTTGAACATATTACACGCTGTGCTTAGACGTGGTGAGAGAAAGACTAAAGTTATGAGACAAGATTACAGGGTTGTGGAGAAGGTCTCATAAGGGACACGCTGTCTCCCCTTGTCTCTCTCTACCTTCTTATTGAGATATATGTTGAGGTCTCTCTCTCTCTCTCTCTCTCTCTCTCTCTCTCTCTCTCTCTCTCTCTCTCTCTCTCTGTCATTCGTTTCAGTGGAATTTCCTGTTGGGTTTCATGGTCTGTACTGCCATAGATAGATAGATAGATAAAGATAGATAGATAGATAGATAGATGCATTGGTTTTATGTCTGTAGTTAGTGAGGTTAAAGCCCGCCTTTCCTGACCTGGTTGATGTATGTTTTTTCTCTCCAGCGTGAGGGATTTATCTTCTTATCTAAGGAAGGTAAAGTGAAATCTATGGTGTCTCTTGATCACCTCTTTAGTATTTTTTATTTTTGTTTTTTAATTGAGTTTGTTTTTGTTTTTCTTTATTTGTTTTATAATATCAACTGTTTTTGCACAATAGGAAAACTTCATATTAATATTATTTGAACAAAAACATTGAGTATATTAGTTTCTTTATCTATGTTTTGGTTTTCAGGTAGGGGGAGGGGAGGAGGGAAGGGGGTAGGGGAGGGGGAAGGGAAGGAAGAGGTTAAACAAAACGACAAACATCTACAAGAGTATTTTGTTTTATTATCAGAATAAGTGTTGTTACAAAGTATTTAGAGAAATAATAGAAAAAAGGAATCATTCTATATACAGACTAGTAGAGTTTTCTCTAATAAATTAAAACTATCTTACACATCACTGGACAATTGTTTGGTACATTATATACAGTATATGTTCGCCTCCTGCCAACGGAAATAATAGATCTAAACTTGATACGTGAAGGGAAAAAAGTTTAAGAAAATAAAATAATTTCAGTACGAAAGACATCTTCTAGTTACAATATAAAGTGATATCTGGCAACTCAAGGAGTCTATAAAAGTTGAACATCTATATAAACACACACACACACACACACAGCGAGATAGTGAGAGACACACCCCACTACTGTCTCTACACCACGCACTCATCAGCGAGATATGAAACAGACTTAGGTCGTCAAGTATCGTCTCTTTACACACAACAGAGTTCTGGCCTTTATCTCGGCTGTTGCTTCGGTACACTCGAGTTACACAGACTTACGAGTACACAGAGTTTATCCAGCCCTGGCCTTTATTCCAGCACGGCTCTCGTACACAGAAGTTCCGCACACAACCACACAAATGAGTCTTGTCATTGTCTCAAGTTCAGTAAACTCACACTCTCGCACACAGTGTTTTATCACCACTTCACACTTAGCTTAACTCTGTTACACTCGGGTTCCACCAACAACCACACACAGAGCCATGTACCTTGCCTCTGTCTTAGCGTCTCTCTAACACATACTACCACTACATACAACACGTGACGGACACTTGTTAAGGTATCAATCTGTTCTGTGTGCACTGTTCATTGTATATAGGGGTGTACCGTTCCTGAGGCGTGTACTTCTGCATTTCCTGTAGACCGCGGCCTTTTGTCTCGGGCACTAAAACTACTGTGAAGACGAGGCCAATGAGGGAGATCCCAGCGTAGAGCCAAAAGGCCCCGTACAGACCCAGCAGTAACTGGAAGTCGACGAAGGTCTTCACGCTGGCGAAGGAACATGCGTAACTGACAGAGTTAGCGATGGCTCCCAGGCCGCGGTGTTTGAGAGGGAAGAGCTCACCGATATAGATCCATGCTATTGGCGATATGCCTAATGCAAATGCCACCTGGAATATCAGAGCACAGGTGAGGGGAATCCAGTCTAGGCCTGGCCCTGGCCCTGCGTCGACACCGTTGCTGCCCGTGACGTACAGGAAGGTACCAAAGCCCGCCAGTGCTGTGGACATCAGGAGATTCGACACTATCAGTAGAGGGAGGCGGCCCACGGTGTCGATGAGTACAGATGACACCATCCCAGCGAGAATCTGCAAAAGACCCACCACCACTGCGGCGCTGTAGGGGTTAATACCGACGAAGGCTTCAGTCAAGATGGGGACGGCGTAGAAGTTGAAGGCGTTGGCTCCACTGAACTTCTGGAAAACCATAAGTCCGCAGGTGATAAGAACGGGTTTGATCAGATCACGACGCCACTCCCGATAACATGAGACATCAGAGTCCCTTCGCATGGCTTCGATGTTGGCCCGCATGGTTTCCAGCTCCTGTGTGACGTCGAGTCCTCCCCGCAGCCAAGACAAGGACGTCGCTGCGTCGTCTTCACGTCCCCGGTACAACAAGTAACTAGGCGTCTCTGGAATGAGCATGAGCGCGAGAAAGAGCAGCGCTGGGGCGATGGAGGCAACCATAGCAAGCTGACGCCAGTCTAGGTAGACGCCCAGTAAAAAGGAGAGCAACATGCCGATGTTGGCGGTAAGCTTAGCCACGGAGCACAGGCAGCCACGGATCTCAGGATGGGCGATCTCGCTGATGTAGACGGGCGTGACGAGCGACACCACAGCTGACCAGATGCCGCACATGAAGGAGGAGGCGTATACCATGTACACACTCGAGGCGAACACCGTCAGGAGCCACGAGAGAGCGAAAGGCAGTGACACCACGGCCAACACACTCTTCCTGCCCAGCCTCATGGCCAGACCACCTGGAATGCCGCCGAAGAAGGCCCCCAGAAGAGAGAGAGACGCGATCCAGGAACCTTGCTCGGGCGTGATGGTGAAGTCGTGGGGTTGGGTGTTGTTGATGGAGGGTGGGATCTGCATGGAGGCGAGGGCGGGGGAGGAATAGCCCTTACCCAGACCCGTTGCCAGAGGTCCTAGAGCAACGATCATCGTCGCCACGACCTGTAAACAACAAAACCACAATTAAAAGAGGTCATATAGGACTTAAACCGTACCTAGAATTTCCTTATACTTTAAAATTTTCTCTCAGCATACCAAGGCTGCGTACACAACTATACACAACAAAGGTCACTCTCGAGGAGGAAATAAAACCTTGGACGTGAAGTGGCAACTAATTAAGACTTAGTAAGACCTGACACAGACTGAGGATCACCCGTCGTCGAACAATCCCGCTAAGCCAAACCTGTCGTGTCTGATGCTCAGTGTTGGCTCGGCCCCCCTGACACTATACAGCTGGACAGACGAGGATACTTGAGAACAGACAACTAATGGGTACAGTTGCTAGTTAGAGTCCGGGAGAAGGAAGGTAGAGAACACCTACCTAATGGCCACAGTGAGAGACATAAACAGTGAGAGACATTACACATAGTTACGAAGATCATAAGTGTGGGTTATAAAAACACAAATATTTAGAGATGAGAGATAAATGTAAACACACTGGGCTTATAGGAACGCCATCTATTGAGACGAAAAGACTTGAATCAAGGTTACACACAAATATTAAACCACACCTGGCAACACTGATTTATTTTTCTTGGTTTTATTGTTGCTTCTTATATATTTTTTTTCCAATGGCCGGTTTCTTTGATGTTCATAATGAGAATAATATATTTTTTTTTTAATAATTTATTCTTATAGAACCAACATTCACCACTGGAATACTGTAACACAAATCTCATATAAACAAGAGATTTGGTTCTCTCACAAAATAACCTAACCTAACCAAACCCTAACCTAACCAAACCCTAACCAAACCTAACCAAACTCCAACCAAACCAATTCTCAGATAACAAGCACAAGTTGGAATGTGATAACACAACCAAGTGCTTCAGGTATCCAAGGGTTAAGGCTGAGTCAAAGCCCATGTGTAGCCAGTCACTCATACGCTCTTTACGTGACCAGACAGCTAATGCCTCGGTGGAATGAGATGACGTGAGACTGATGCACCAACAACCTTGATAATATACTGAGGTGTCATGGCAAGGGGTCAAGAGGTGTATTATCAAGGGATGTCATGTCAAGGGGTGTCATGTCAAGGGGAGTCATTTCAAGAGGTGTCATGTCAAGGGGAGTCATTTCAAGGGGTGTCATGTCAAGGGGTCATTTCAAGGGGTCAAGAGTGTATTATCAAGGGGTGTCATGTCAAGGGGTGTCATGTCAAGGGGTGTCATTTCAAGAGGTGTCATGTCAAGGGGTGTCATGTCAAGGGGTGTCATATCAAGGTTAAGTTAGTTTAGGTAATTATAAACATAGTGTCTTAAACATAGAGGCCATAAGGTACAAGAACTAGATGGTGGTTTTACCTGAGTTAATCGCTGGGGCCTGTTGCTGTATATGAGGCTTAAGGTAGAGCTGGCCATCTTGACCTGGCGGAGGGAGTGTGTCTGTAAATGAGGGAAACGTAAACTGTTAATAATAATAATAATAATAATAATAATAATAATGGTTTAACCCTTTGATGACTATGGTTTAACCCTTTAAGGATGATGATTTAACCCTTTGAGGATGATGATTTAACCCTTTGAGAACAATGATTTAACCCTTTTGAGGACGATAGCTTAACCCTTTGATGACGATGATTTAACCATTCTAGCACGATAGCTTAACCCTTTGATGACGATGAGTTAACCCTTTCAGGACTCAAAGGGTTAAATTACAACCCAAACATAAAACCTAGACACATCCTCTCATTTACGAGAAAAATAAACGATAAAGTTAAGAATGTTTAGGAATCACTCGTCTAAACACTGCCAGGTCAATAGTGTATCTTGGATTTGGCCGGAAGTCGTGAGGTTGTGTGTGTAAACTGTCTCTCTTGAGGTCAAATTTGATGTTCAAGGTTAAGGCGTGTGTGTGTGTGTGTGTGTGTGTGTGTGTGTGTGTGTGTGTGTGTGTGTGTGTGTGTGTGTGTGTGTGTGTGTGTGTTACTTAAGACTTGTTTAATGGTTGGTCACGTACGGTAACACACCTGTACCCATACCTGTGAGTGGCATTGGAGTAATGTTATAATTGACTTCAGTAAGTTTGTAAAGTAACTGGGATACGATTGAGTGACTGGGGTATGACTGTAACTGAATAGGATACGACCCTCAGTCAGCCAGGTAGTCAGTTAATCAGACTGTTAGCCAACCAGACCGTCAGCCAGAGGTAGTGGGTGGACCAGATGTAGACCTTGGTTAGACCTGTGTTCTGTCAGTATCTCGGTGCCCACCCAGTGAGAGAGAGAGAGAGAGAGAGAGAGAGAGAGAGATTCACTGCACTGTAATTACCACCTAAATATTAACAACTCAACCACAACTACAACCACCACAACCACCACCATTACAAAGTTACAGAAGCCCTTACTAAGAAATTCATTAACAAGCACAACCACTATCAACCTTACCATTAATCATACTACCACCACTACCACTATCACTACTACCACCACTACTACTACCACCACTACTTGTATGCTACCAGTCACAAAAAATCCACCAACCAACCATTACTTTCAATCCCTCAATACTTATCCCTATGTTAATTTAGCACACAGTTACACTAAACATGACCCTCCAGTAAGGTTTAAATCACCCCATTGTTAAATAAGGCCTGTATAAACACCTAGGTTACAGGGTGTGGCTCCTTATAGAGACAGTTTGACCCTACTGGACCCTACCGGACCCTACTGGACCATACTGTAATCTTAAGGCAATTATCTTTTTTTGTCTCGTGTTGATAAAATCTCATCTTTCTACGATGCCTTAAAGAGATTCGCTGCTAGGGGTGACGTGGGTTAAGGGAGAAAGAACTTCGGCTATATACCTGAACAGAGAAATAATTAATACGGTTTTTAGCTTATAAATATCAGAGGTGTTGATTCATTAGTTTATTATATAATATAAACTGTATATATAAACAGATAGATATATGAATTAGTCTATTGTGCTAAGGTAACCGGGAATTAGTAAGTGATTAAGCTGAACCATTTGATGAAATTCCCTCTCGAGGTAATAATATTTTCAGTCAGGTAAGGAAAGGTAGATTATTAAAGCGATAAACACAGATACAGAACGATCATACAGACGAATAATATAGAACGCTATATACATCGGCCACAAGCATAATAATACAATTCGTTTTAACTTCACGTCAATTGTGATGTGACCTTGATTTATATAGTTAAGATCAAGGTCAGGTGTGTTTTATAGGTCACAGAAGTAAACCACGCGTCTTGTCTTCCCATTAATAGTTCAAGTGAGGTTTTAATAAGTTGCCACATACAGCCATGGGTAACACTATTCTTCATGATAGCTGGGAATGTTTAGCCGGGAAATGTATCAGATAAAACTGGTTATACATTTCTCAGCATCCGGGAAATTCCTCTGACTTATTCACGGAAGAAACTGATGCATTCTTCACAGATTAATTCATCAACTATTTCCCTTCTGTTGTTTTGGTTAAGAGAACATTGTATCTGGTGTACTGCCTTCGTCTGCTTCCCCTTCAGGTTCCTCCTTCCGTCTCCTGCTGTAGGGGCGACGGTCAACAGAAGCCTAGTGGCCCTCTGTTGCCAGGCAGCTTGACATGAATGGCACCCACAGTGTTTACATCCTTCCCCCACCCCCTAGAACCCGCTGGTGCCTTCGTGGTTACTCTGACCTCCTTGGTGATCTGTGGTGGTGGTGGTGGTAGGGATGCAATGGTGATTGTGATAGTAGTCTGATAGCTCGTGGGTGGTGGTAGCAGTGTGGTGGTGGGAGATGGATTGTGGCAGTAATACAAAAGTAGTGTGGTAATTGTTGGCTGGCGAATTGAAACGATGCTTTATTACATCCGAGGGGACAACCACAACCACGATCACTCCACAACCACGACCGAGTCATCTTCCACCAGCAGTAGATCTGGAGACGAACTACAACAGCTCTTCATCCCTCCATAACACACGAGGACTTAATCCCTCCTCATTGTGTCTCAATCTCTCTCACTGCACTACGTCACTGTGTCCAGGTACCACAATACTGGATAGTGTGTGTGTGTGTGTGTGTGTTCCTGCAGTGAGTGTCAGGGAGGAGTGGCACTATAGCAGGCACCACCGGCAGCAGCAGCATGAGGGTGGGGTGAGTGCCAGCCAAGAGCAGCCAACAGGTCGGATAGAGGTGTGTTGGCTCGCCTCACCCTCTCTTGTCAACACACTGCCGGTGACGCCTGGCCCACGCCTGTCTTTATTACTGAGCCAATTTACTACACTTAAATCAACACTTAAAAGCTACAGAAGAAAGCTCAGGGTCGTGTGATGACTGAGGCACTGTGTTATATGTAATGGTTAAGGATTACACTAACTCATGAAGGAGAATCCGTCTCTGAAAATCCTGTTGAGACGGAAGATTTTCAAGGTATTTACCCAGAGTTTACCTGTACACGATGATGGGCCTCATCCACAGTGTCTCTCTGGGACCCAAACTTCCCAGGTGACGACACACTCAGGTTACTGTTCGGTGGCTTGGTTTTTGTTTACGTCTCTGATTAATTATCTTCCTGACTGATGATGTTATTCGTAAATTAACCCAAAAAAATCTTTCTTTGTTTCCTAACTTATCAAGTGTTTATATACGAGTAAAGTCAAGCTGTTTATACTACCGGGACACACCAGTAACAGAGACTCCGCCCTGTCTACTACTGGTGAGTCGTGCCGGTAGTCACGTCTCGCCTCAACACATACTAACAGATTACTGCCAGATCTCCCCGAGTCTCTCACTAACACACCATACCATTCATCAGAACGAACAGGTATTTCTTCCCGGTCCATCACCAGTAGACCACACCATCCATCACATACTGGCGCAAAAGCAAACAGATGTTCCATTTTTAATCAAGGGAAGTCCTCGGGTTCTTGCATCAAGCAGAGTGTTGGCCGGCCTTGTGAACCAGCGGGAACACTGCCAGCCAGCCCAGACTCACTCTGTTTTGATCTCCATAACTGAACGGCACACTGTTACGACAAGATGCATCACCGCAACTTTTTTACATACAATTATTCCTTCCCAACACGATTATGACATTGAAGTGTTTATATAACGAGGTGTAACTAGTTCGTTGTGACCTTGAAAAGTCTCGTTGTTATAGAGAACTTGGCATAGTACCTCAGTGCATCTTTTCACAAGCAATTAAGATTATTATTTGACAACATAACTAGGATTCTCACGTTCACATGAAGAGTTCTCGGTGGCTTAACATTGTCTTGATATATGTTTCTTCATATAGGGAGCTCAGGGAGACACGTAGATCGACGGTAAATGAGAAAAATAGAGAAAAAATAGCTAATAAATAGATTCCCGGAGAGACTGTGGGTGAAGGAGAGGGTAAGACCACGTGTTTGACATTGTTTTCGGTTGTGGTGTCGGGGCCGAGTGCCAGGTGGGTGCCGGTGCCTACCACAACTACTGCCACCACCACCACCACGCCAGGTGTCTACCCCCACCACTACCACCATCACCACTATCACCACCTGTTGGCCTTAAGGTGCTACAGATGGCATGCGTGTTGTTCTCCTTTACCTGTGGGAGCTCTGTCACCTGGCCCACCCCATCACTTAACGCCATCTACACTAACCATACCATTCTTTACTACCCTCACCACCCTCACTACACTCACCACCACCATCAGTACAGGACCCTCTCACTACCACCATCAGTACAGGACCCTCTCACCACCACCATCAGTACAGGACCCTCTCACCACCACCATCAGTACAGGACCCTCTCACCACCACCATCAGTACAGGACCCTCTCACCACCACCATCAAGACAGGACCCTCTCACCACCACCATCAGTACAGGACCCTCTCACCACCACCATCAGTACAGGACCCTCTCACCACCACCATCAGTACAGGACCCACTCACCACCACTATCAAGACAGGACCCTCTCACCACCACCATCAGTACAGGACCCTCTTATCACCACCATGACACTACCTTCTCACCACCACCATCACGCCAGGTAAACCACACTCCCCGGCTCACAGGTGCTCCACACAACACTGCTAACATACGTGGCATCTCTTCCGGATCACCGAGGTGGATTAGAGGCTCCCACTTATGGCTCTGGGAAGTGTATCGAACAGACAACTCCTCGTGTCAATGGTGCCACCTCAACACACTCTATCACCTCAACACACTCTACCACCTCAACACACTCTACCACCACAACACACTCTACCACAACACACTCTACCACAACACACACTACCATCACAACACACTCTACCTCAACACACTCCAATACCCGCGCTGTCGACCGTTTTTTTTCTGTACAGTGACCAGCAAATAGGTACCAGTCCTATAGTAGATGTAAAGCTTACGGGATCCCAGTTCTAGTAGGCCCAAAGCTTACAGGGTGAC